TGAACACAAAATATATTTCAATGCCAAATATAAATATAAAATAAATATATATGTGATTTAATTTATCAGCCACTTTGGATTAGCCACATTCAAGCTCCCCTTAACTAAAATAGATAATTGAGTATTGACATTAAAAGAATCACTGCCAAGGGATATTTGATATTCAACTAGGGAATCACAAACTGGAATCTAGTTGTGTCTCCTTAATATACTCATAATTATCCTTGAGTGAATGATTGTATTATTCTCTGTTCTATCCTGGTGTTTTTATCAAATTGCAAGTTCAGTTTTCTCATAAACCTGATTTATAAGAATAATGAGAACATTAACAAATTAGTATATTTCAAGAGCTTTAAAATTTGATTAAAGTTTCTATATTCAAGACAAAAAGAAACCTCTCACTGTGCACAATTTATTCATTGGCATCCAAAGACCTTTGATTAGAATAATTTTTCAAATATAAACAATTAGTAACAGGCCATTTATTTACTAAATGTTATATGAGGGACCCAGCTGTCTGTACCACCTTCATTTGACAATTTTAAAGTTAGGATTTACTCATGACATTTCACTATTTAAACATGTTTAGCTAAACATGGAGTTCTTTTGCTCTGGATATTTTAAGGTTACTTTCCATATACTGTCCAAGAAGAAACATATTTCAATCTAAGAAAATGGTTAGCATTTCCATATCATTTGCCTCCACTACCCTAGAAATATATCTTAACACTTCTTCAATTTATTTTGATGTGGAAGGCGCCTGTTTTTAATCAACTTTAAAATTATATTCCACGGACTTGCAAATGTCAAATCAATGCTAATTGAGAGAGGCCTTAAAAACTCAGACACTTTTCATTCTGGCACAGAGATCCCATGCTCTCTGTATTCGGAGCCTTGGCTTTTCCATACAGCCTTTACGAGGTTAAGAAGATGAATGCTCATTGCTTTTAATCCTTTCCATGATTTATGAGTCTCTTGGTATCCTTTCCCCAGAGCAGCTACAACTGTGTGGCTGTACTGCCTGCTGCTTAAATTACACAGACATCTGCAAAGTGAATTACGGATTGTTGTCCCATAGACCATAACGGAGCATTCTCTTCATCTCTCCTACATGATTTTTTTATTAGAACAAAGATCATGTGCATTTTTACTGGCTTATGGACTGAAGAAATTGTGAGCTAACCTGAGTGATTGCGCAATGACCTGGATTATGACCTGTCACATAATATCAGAGCAGCATGACATATATAAACAGGGTTCCTTTAAAGCTAGAACACAGCATCTCCCGTTTATTTATATGGTTCCTCTTTATTTCAGCAAAGCCATCTTTAGGTTCACAGAAGGATGGTGACCTTTAAAATTAACTAAACATATGTACTATGGAATAAAGACACATAGAAAGGACCCTTGAGTCTTTGAGTGTACAAGATTTTAAGAGCATCTTGTGGCCTATGGCCCTTAAAGATAATATCGAGTAAAGAAAATACATAAAGGACAATTCATGACAGATTCAAGTATCTTTTTTAGGTTTTGCTTTTCCTCTACTGATGCCAGTTGTAGCCCATCTGTTTTACTAATTCTGTAAGCTTACAGCAATCATGAGTAATTGAAACAATTCTTTCTTCTAAAAAAGAAGCCTAACAGAGTTTAAGTTGAAAGAGTCAACTCCCTCTGTATTTTTCTTTCTTTTCTGTGCTTATTATTCTGTGTAGATGAATTATAATTCCCCATAACAATACCATTGTGAAATCCTAACAGACGTGCCCCAAATGACTAACCTTTGACAATTACCAAGTATTAGAAATATCCCAGCATTTATTTTTTTCAGATGTGCTAATCACAGCCCAAACAATAACCCATTGAGGGAAAGCTATACTAATAAGACTTTCAAAATAATTTCTAGTAATGCCTTACAAAGTGCATTTCTTTTTTAAACAAAGGGCTGTACAATTCATTTTTTGAACCCTATTGTCAACTCAGCAGGATGCTATGAGCACTAATGCCAGCAAAGCTCAAATCCACTCCTGGCTGCGCGAACCCATCACTCCCTTTTGTGTCTCCATCAGTTTCTGTTTCACCTCATCACTGCTGAGAGGCAGTGTTCCCTGAGTGTCAGGACCTGATATTCATGCCAATGCACTAAAGGCTTTAAAAAAAAACCCCAAAAAACAACAACAACAACAACAACAAAAATCCATATATCCTAAATTTCTGTCTCTCCGTGTCAGTCTCTCCGTTCATTTCCAGAACTTTCTTTCTGCGACAGCACTTTGCTCCTTGTCATAATGAAATGAAGTATGAAAGGATTCCTGAAGAATTCCATACAGTTAAAGCCCTAAATTCTTTAAATATACCCCTACCTAAACAAATGTCTTTTAAATATTGATTACATGTAAATATTGTGTAAGAAAGTATAGGGGACAGACAGAAATAAGAATAAATTGGAGCTTCCAAAAGATTAGACATATGAATATATATATATTATATATATATATATATATAATATATATATATATTCCCCCAATACATTGCCAGCAATCATCTTCTTAAACATACATACACACACACAAACACACACACACACACACACGTGCGTGCATGCACATACACAAACACACAGCTCTGATCAAGTCATTTCTCTATTTTCAAAATAAATGACAAATATGGCTCCACATCATATAAAAAGTAAAGCCCACACAACCCAAACACACTTTTAAATTTCATTCACGATACTTCGTCATTTGAACCCATTCCTCTAGATTTATGTACCAACTACCTTCATGTTTGATATACATGGCATTCTCTAACTCCCCAACCGGTTTAACACTCACCAAACAAAAAATAATACTGTGTATCTTCATGCCTTTTATAAATCTATGCCCTCTTCTTTACATATTTGTTTGCATTTCTCTGTGAAGTCCAGCGTTCTTTCTGTTTTCAAACATAACATGAGAAAGAAATCCCATCTCAACTTCTCTGCAACCATAACATCTTTCGTATTGGAACAAAAAGTGTCCTAAAAATAATGAGTGTTGCCTGACCATATGAAGAAAGAATGATTGATTTCTTTTTCTCTTTCATTTTTGTATGATTTAAAATAAATACATCTAATTACTTGTTAGGCAATCATGGATATAAGTGATAGCTCAATAGAATAAACAGTAAATTTTGTAAAATTTTTGAGGAGAAATAGATTGTCCTTACTTACTTCAAAAAAAAAATTATGAATGAAGGTGGTGGGATTGTAAAAACAATCCAGAGCACTGCTCTACTCAAAGTTAAATTAATTGAAACTATTTTAATACTAAGTTTGTTTGGTTGACATCTATATCTTCAATATTCTTGGATATCATTCTCTATTTTATTATATCATTCCACTGAGATTACTTTTGGGTCTGCTTTCATATGTGAAATTTATGAAAACCCTTACATTAAAAGGAAAACAATTTTCTTCAAATGTCTTCTGCTTTAATTTCTACTCTCTCCTGATTGAAAACAAGTGAACATTCTAATTTCTTTATGTTTATCATTTCTCAAGTTTTTATCTTTAAACTATTCTTATTATTCTTATGTAAAGTGATTATCAAACATATATATATATATATGTGTATATATATATATATATACATATATATATATATATATATAACAAATTAACAAATACTCTAGGTTGATGGAATCATGGTTCTGTAAGAAGGACAAGTTGCCAGTATCTGAAATTAAATTTAAAGGGCAACTTCTTTAACCCTATCAATCTGATAAAAACGTCTGGAATTAAACCCCCACTCCAAAATTATTCAAGATAGAAGTTTAAAAATGAGTCAAACTTTCTATAAAAGTGCAAAGATTTTATAACATAAAAATAGAATATGTTTCATATGAAAATTCTGAATATTGATGAGAACAAATTGAAGAATAAAATAGATGGATACAGCAGGCATTAGAAATCAGTAGTATTTGAGATATAAAATGGTTGACTTCACTTCAAACTTTTAATCTTGAAAAAATGTATCTACAATATGTATAGTTTTTATTCAAGCCTAACACTTGAAATAAATGACATTGTTATAAAACTAGACTAAAGCATAACATTTTTGAATAAATGTATCTCATAAAATAAAGTTAAAAAGAAAAAGAAAATATTTAATATTTCTACTTATTAAATATGAGTATGCAGAGAGAATCTGAACAAATGTCACAGCTAGGCCCATAAAATCCCATTAGTTTAATCACATTTGCCTTATCTCTTTAACCTTTTCTTTCTGAACTATTACATAAAGTGTTAATGTTAATCGATTACTAATTGCGAACTAATAATATAAAGCTTATTTCAACTACAGCCTAAGAATAGATGCTACAATTACCAAGCAGCGAATGTCAAGGCAGTGTTTTAATTATTGTTTCCAGAAAGTCAACTGTAAGTGTTTAAATTGGAGGATTTAGATTTCTGCAATCAACAAAGGAAAAGCAGCCTAGAATTGCCTGCCCAAGAAACAACTGAACTAGACTCCACAATATTAATATTAATAGAGATGAGAAAAGGTGTGACACCGTCTCTTCATTTCCTGTGTCAGAATTTCATGAGGTTTGCTTTTGAAATGAGGCATATGCAACCAATTTAACAAAAATAATACCCAGTAATTATGAGGAAGTAGGCAAAGTGTCATAAAATATAATACAAAAGGAGAAAATCAGTTTCAATCTTTAGGAGGCACATACCCACTAGGTTTTCTCAAATCTGCATGTAAATTGAAAGAGTGAGAAAAACACAATGAAGATGCTTAAAAATATAGAATTCTTGCTAAAGAAATGGTTACTTGAGTTTCATGGTTTGCCATGTTGTGAACTACTTACCTGTAAGCATATAAATATATCAATATTCTGATTGCTAATGAAATACATATTGTAAAAAGCAATGGAATTTTTAAAAGAATTTGAATTTTGAAGTATTTATAAGAGGCTAAGAGCATATGTCTTGATGATATTTAAATGTCACCTACCTTTAAGAAGGCTGGCATTCTTTAAAACTCCAAGGTGTTATTGTGTTCCGAATGGAATATATTCCCAAATAGAGCTGAACAGAACTGAAAAGATAAACATACACAAAGATGTAATGTCAATTCTTTTCTAATATATATTTATTTTAGAATATTTTCAATTTACTTAAAAGCTCAAGATAATTCAGTGTTCTTAAATACCAGACATCTAATTTGTCTCATTGTTAACATTTTTTATTTCAATGGCTTATTTGTCATAATTTTTGATAATTGTGATGCACAAAGTCAAATGAAGCAACATTGATACATTCTTCTGATTTCATTAGTTTCTCTACTAATACCCTTTTTCTGTTCTGAATATCACATTGAATTTAGCCTTCATATCTTCTCAGCCACCTCTGGAGAGTGATAGTTTCTCAGATTGTTTTTGAGGACCTTGAGAGTTTTGAAGAGTAATGATCAGAATGTCCCTCAAGTGGAATTTGCCTCATTTTTTCTCATGA